AATTTAAAACTGCTTTCTAAACATAAACCCCAAAAAACCGGGCATATTTTACTGGCACTTAAAAAAAAAAAAACTATTTAACAATAAAAAAAAAAAAGATGGGGCCTTACACAAAATCAAACCCATTTGAACAATCCATGTACTGTTCTGCCCCCTGCTTTTTTTTCCAGAAATGTATCTGAATTTTTATTGTAGAAAAAAAAATCAACTCGTTTGTATCTTTCACAGTTCCAAAACCCGAAAATAAACAAACCCCCTTACTGCTAGACAACATTTTTTTCCCGAGGGGCTCTGGGGCCTTGGGGCAGCACACTTTTTTTTTACCGTGTAAGTAAAAAAGGGTGCCTTGTGTTTTAAACCTTTTTTTTTCCTCATAAAACCACAAAACCCAAAAAATGCCCTGCTTTTGGTCAACCTTTTTTTTAAAGTAGAAAAACACCTCAGGTTGTTTTTTTTTACAGTTTTCCTATTTTTTAAAATTGGTCACCATTTACATACTGTTTTGCAGCAAACCAAATTTTTTTCCCAAAACCCTGCAAGGGTGACATGTTTTTAAAATTTATTTTTTAAAGGGTACAGAAAGATTTTTTTTGAAAAAAACACTATTTAACGGACTGTCCAAAAATATTAAAAATATATAAATTTTAAAAAATTATAAAACCGCCTAAAAAAAAAAGGAACACCCTTTAAACACATCAATCTTTTTGGGGAAAAAAAAATCAAGCTGGGGAAACTAAACAGATATGGGGCTGGGTAAAAGTTTTAGGAAAATTTAAGGGGGCCCCATTGTTTTTATGGGAAAAGAAAAAATTTTCAACCTAAAAGAGGACTGAAAAACCAAAGACACCCAAAAACAAAATGAAAAAAAAAAAGGGTGCAGCAAAAGGCCCAGGGCCATTTTTTTTGAAATTTCATTGCAGCAACTCAAAAAAAGGTACTCGTAGGTTTTTTATGGGTACAAAGCTGTATCATGCCCGACAAGGGCGGGGCATGCTCCTAATGAGAAGGGGGATGGGGTCCTGGGGTTTTTCCTCCCAGATCTGGACCCAGGCATCACTGAGCCCCCTGGACAGTCTGAGCCGCAACCTGGTGGCTTTGGGATAGACTGAAACATGATATCCAGAGGTGTTCTATTGATTTAGGTCAGGCGATGTGTGCAGGCCCTTCAAGGGTATCAATTCCTTCATCCTCCAGAAACTGCCTACTTTACTCTTGCCACATGAGGCCGGGCATTGCCGTGCCGGGAGCAAGTGCGACCTGCCAATTCTGGTGATCAATGGCAAATGCCATCAATTTCTATGGTGCTGGCATGAGCACAGGGCCCACTAGAGATGTCGGACTCTCCAAGAGGCCACTCCTCAGGAAGTTGTTTTCTGATTGATTTGATCAGAGACAATCACAAACCAGTGGCCTCTGGAGGTCATTTTGTAGGGCTCCTGGCAAGTGCTCATCCTGTTTCCTTCGTGCACAAAAGGTTCAGATACCGATCCTGCTGCATGCGGTTACGGACCTTCTATGGTCCTGTCCAGCTCTTCCTAGAGTAAACTGGAATTAATCCTTCATGCATATTAGGACTGTGCAGGGAGACACAGCAAACTTCTGTGGCAACGACATGTATTGAATGTACTATCTGGAGAACCTGGACTGCCTGTGGCAAAACCTCTGTAGGGTCAGGTAATTCGCGCCTCATGCTTACCAAGAATTGACACTGACCCTAAACCACATGCAAAATCGAGAAACCAAAACTGTCAGGAAAGATGAGTAAGGAACAAAAAATGTCAGTGGCCTCTACCTGTAAAAACCATTCCTGATATGGGGGTCATCTCATGTTGCATATCTAGTTGCACCTGCTGTTAAGTTTTCATTAACACCAAAGCAGCTGAAACTGCTCTGCTAGATTTAACTGACCAGAGCGTTTTTAACTTGCCTATGATGCAATACTCTGATTTAAAGGTGTTCCTTTCATGATTTTGAGCAGTATATATATATATATAATATATATATACACACAGTACCATAGGTGATAATGAAAATATGTTTTGTGAAAAAACGATATCCAGTCCTTGATACCACTGTAGTGCATGTAAGCAGGGACGAGTGAGGCTATAAGACGTCAGCAGCATTAAGAATATAATAAATGAATGAGACCTGATCGCACCCCCCTTACAATCTCATATCCACCAGTATCTCTAAGTTACATGAGCTTTTTTGCTATCTACATGGCATTCAATAGATTTTTCTACTTCAACAGACCTGCCAGTGCCCACAAGAGCCACCAACGCCTTACACTAAATCCTCACTATTTCAGGGTTTGGTCAGCACACCCCCAATGCTTTTTTCAATCACAGATAAAGCAAATTGCCAATATCGCTGCTGTGACCTCATCCTTTTATAATGACGTGGGCTAGCTTTCCAAAATCCCCCCTATTCGCCTCTTTTAAGCAAAGATTAGCTACCTAAAGTTCATGGACAGTCATTTCTTTATGGTCAAAAAACAAAGAATTCTATTCAATCTGGCAAATTGTCACAAGACCGACAAATTTCTAACTCACTGGATCTGCCACTAATCCATGGCACGGGCAAATATGAACCTCATCCTAATACCAATATAGTTTATAAAAAATATTTTTAAGGTCTAGAGAAATAGAGCAATGCATGCCCATATAAATGTGCCCACTTAGTGTTTATTTTATTCTCTTACTTGCTCAATGTGCAAATGTACTTGAAACTGCAGTTACAAACTGGTAATTTCACACTTATTGCTGAGTTCAAATATGAAAAACAATGAGCACCGTATAAATTCCCCAAGCATACTGAGTGATCCTAATGTGTGTGACATTAATTCTGTTATTACAAAACCAGTATATGTTCTTTTTTATTTCAGATGTGCCATGCATTCTGGAATACTGCAGACTTTATTTAATGCATAAATTCTTAAAGAACAAATAATCCAAACTTTTAAATTATTGGCATAACAAATTTATTCTATCCAAATGATGCAATAACAAAGGCACTGGATGATGCTGGAAAGAAAAAAAAACTGCACACAAAAAATATCTTGAGACTCAGTGCCATTTAACATAATAAACACCTTCTGGGAGTTCCATAGTAATTACTAAACTGCAAGAAAAATAATTTCCATCTTGTTGCTAACTATGTTGGATTTGAAGCCAGTTGCCTAGATTATCCTTAAATACCTTTTACACTGGGAAATCTAAATCTAACATTTTGTCTCGACATCATGTTTGCCAGTTTAAAATTATTATTATTGTTATTTAAGCATTCACACATCTGAGCACTCTTTCTAGTGAACCTACCAATATGAGATTGCTGCGTGAACAGCTACGAGAACTAGCTACTATATCAGTATTGGCTAATAAATTATTTGCACATAGATACAGTAACAATGATGCAGCTAGAGTCTAACGCTCCTGTTGCTGAAATTAGTAAGGCTCTGTTTTAAGGCATCATCAAAAGTATAAGATGAATCCTAACATGGTTACCCCATTATATCATCATCATGTTTACTGTGTTAACAACACTTGGGTGCCTTTAAATACTGAGGTCAATAGTGGTATATTAAAGCAGTCGGACATTCAGATCCAACTGATCTGGAGTAAATTTTTTTTATACAGATTGGACATAAACATATACTGTGTGTGAAAAATAAATTGACCAAATACAGTACCAAGTCAAAGCACTACCTAAAGTATTAAACGTCCAGCTGTAGACCAGTTTGTTGGCAACAGGACTGTTCTAAAGCCCCCACCAGAGCACTCATTCACTTTTGGGTAAACCAGTCATAAACATTAATTCACCTTAAAAGTCAGCTCTATCCAAGACTTTTATGTGCGTCAAAGGTTGAATTGCATGTACACTTCTTATACCAATTGGCAGCTACTAGTGATGAGACATTATTTCAGTTTTTACCAAAAATTCCAAAGAAAGACATACTAAAGGAAATTTTAAACCAAATTATAACCAACTGACTCACACTTCAGGGACTAGTACTAGAGCTTTTTCATTAACAAGTTTGCATTGGAGGGTGTGTAACTCACTGTTTCACCCAGGCCACTCCAAGTAGACATATTACAAAGGCACAGATACCAAATTATTCTTAATAAAGCACACCAAGTATGCTTGATGTTTGTGCCAACATACCCCTTATAGAGACTCTATCACTTTAACAAACAAATAAGCTGCTGAGAGGTATAAAGTGTAGGCTTCTAGAAAAAATTGAACATATCTGAAAACAGCTTTAATTGTTCCTGGTTTAAAGTTGACCACGATGCGTAATTTTTTTTCAATTCAGCTCAGTGGCCTGAACAGAATTCCTTCATCCACACTAACAAGGTGGACAGTGATCAACTTCTTGTCAAGCCAAAATGGGCCACGCATGATCAAAATTCAGCCAAACCCCAGCTTAATTGAGTGCCACGTGATTTTGAGTGGAAAAGCTCTGAAGCTTCTTAGTCTCCTTCTCGTCCCTTCTAGATTATACTCCTTCTAGGCACTCTTTATGATGGGTTGCCTCACTGGCCAGTATGAAAAGGTGGTAGGCAGGAGGAGCTTTGACACTACTAGGAAATTGCCAAAGCTTTTGCCCCTTAACCTCTTGCCGACAACGCGCATAGCCGAATGACGGCTTCACCGCGGCCGCCAGTTCTGAGTGGATGTCATATGACGTCCTCCCAGAACGCGCGCTCTCCTGCGCGCCCCAGGGGTGCGCGCGCACCCGGCGATTATCTCCGTGATCGCTGTGTCCTACGGACACAGCTGATCACGTGATGGTGGTGAAAGGCCCGATCCCACCGGCCTTTTACCACGTGATCAGCGGTGTCCAATGACACGCTGATCACAGGGAAAATGCAAGTGCCGGTTCTCGGCTGCACTTTCCTCACGCTGTCAGATCGTGAGGTAAGTACTGCCGAGAACCGGCAGTTTGTCAGAGCGGGGATCGGCACCGATCATCAGGGCACTGATGATTCAGTGCCCTGATGATCGGTGCCCCAGCAGTGACACTCCCCGCAAGTTCCGCCCAGCAGTGCGCCCACTACCCCGCCCACCACCCGTGGGGGAAACTTCCCATTTAAAGCAGTGCACTACGGATACCGTTTGACCCCACCTGTGCCCAGCAGTGCCCCCACCTGTGCCCAGCAGTGCACCCACCTGTGCCACTCTGCAGTGCCACCTACCTGTGCCCAGAAGTGCCACCTACAATGTGCCTAGCAGTGCCACCCACCTGTGCCCACCCACCTGTGCCCACCAGTGCCACCCACCTGTGCCACACCAGTGCCACCCACCTGTGCCCACCCACCAGTGCTGCCCACCAGTGCCACCCACCAGTGCAGCCCAGCAGTGCTGCCAGTCAGTGCCACCAGTCAGTGCCCAGGGGTTGTGCCAGTCAGTGCCGCCAGTACAGTGCCCAGAAGTGATGCCAGTCAGTGCCGTCTATCAGTACCCATCATCAGTGTCCACCTATCAGTGCCGCCTCAGTGCTGCATATCAGTGCCGCCTATCCGTGACCCCTAATTAGTGCTGTCTATCAGTGCCGCCTATCCGTGCCACCTCATTAGTAACTGCCTATCAGTGCCCTTTTAGTGCTGCTATCAGTGCCCATCAGTGCCGCCTATCAGTGCCCATCAGTGCCGCCTCATCAACGCAAATCAGTGAAGGAGAAAAAATACCTGTTTGAAAAAATTTTTATAAAAGATACAAGTAAACCTTTTTTTTTTTTTCAAATTTTTTTTGCACTTTTTTTAATTTATAGCGCAAAAAGTAAAGCGCCCAGTGGCGATTAAATACCACCAAAAGAAAGCTCTATTTGTGAGTAAAAAAATTATCAAAATTTCATATGGGTACAATGTTGCATGACCGCGCAATTGTCAATCAAAGTGCGGCAGCGCTTGAAAGCTGAAAATTGGCCTGGTAAGGAAGGGGGTATAAGTGCCTGGTAGGGCAAGTGGTTAAGAAAACAACAAATATTCAGGCATAGAGAAGCCTCTGAATGCTGCTGAGCTCAAAGGTTCTTCAACTATACCTTCCAGCTTGTTTAGTTTTAGGTTAAAACTGCAGTTCATGTCAAGTTAAGTTATGTTTTAGGAAATGGTTACAGATAAAAAGAGTAACCATAAGAACCATTCTTTTAGGGCAAATCAGGTCATATTGCTAGAAAGACTGTGCAGAAAAAGAAAGATTTTACACGTCAGTAGTGGTCACTAATTACAACAACCTGGAACTACCCTTTTTGTCTGGAGGGGGAAACATACATAACATTAATCAGGCAACTGTGAGCCCTTCAGTCAAATGCATCAGTTTATTCTATCACTAATGAGTACAGTTTCATTGTTCTGAAAGCAGACAACCATCGAAACGTGTTATGTTTGTGTTGGGCCTGTAACATTCTAAAACAATAACAATACTTTCGTATGATGTTATCTATGTTATCTATATATACAGTATTTATCTTGATTTTCCTAAAGAAAATAAGTTAACACGTTAGGAAATAACTTAATTGATATAATAATAAATAATACCTTTAACCACTTGGCACTGAGCCCACACAAATATGCAGCCTCTTAGCCGCTGGACCTTGGCACCGTGGGGATGGGCATATTGTAAACGAAGGATGTGCCGAGAGCTACTTGCAGTCGGGAGCTTTCTGATCATTTGACCACCGTGACAGCCAATCACGGTGGTCACATGACCCTAAACCCATGTCACAAACCCCTTAAAAGGCTGGAAGGCAATGGCACCAAGGGGGTTAATATTTATATATTTCTTCAATCCTGCATCGAAATCATATCTGTGGTCCAAATCTAAAATGGCATATTCATGTCTACATTGCATTTCAATTATTTCTAACCTACTTTGTAAACTTACTTTGTGAAGATCCCAAAACATTTACGTCCTTGAATTATGTGACACATATTCACTATGTACTGTGAGTAGGCACTGCTGTGTCGCACATTTCACAGAGCCTGCCTTCTGTATGATCAATGTGCTGAGAGGAGGAGTTACAGGAGGCAGAGTCAGTACAGGAATCACTGCTTGTAGGTAACAAGGTACCATGGGCTATGTAGTCCTTAGAAATTGAAAGCAGAGGAGAAGCTGAAAAACATGCAGGGACATTATGGAAAGAGATGACAGACAGAACTCACAACATGAAATGAGATTTTTAAGCAAGATTATAGTGGATTGTTAAATATAACTATGGTTTGTATTTCTATCAAAATGCTGATGTTATAAAATGAGAGTGTATGCTGTGACTATAGGTTTCCTTTAATACAGAGGAAAAGTAAAACAAAAGACGTGGTACGTACTGTTATTTGATATTTAGTAATGCAGCCTCCAAACACTTAATGGTCTTTTTATTCTTGCATGTTTAGGTTTTTTTTTCATATTTTTCTCAATTCTATTATGAAAAACACATATTCGACACTGAAGCATGCTGCTGGCATTCTTTAATTATGTTGAAATGCAAAAAAAGGAATGCATAGAATAACTATTAATATGAATCCATTCATTAAGTTATACACTTTCAAAATTTAAAAAATACTATATTGGCCCTTTGAAATTTCGCCCTACTATTTCTTGGCAAACACTAATTCCAACACAGTCCATTTTTTCAGTAATCTGGTGATTTGGGAACACCTGCTCTAATCTTATGAGAAAATGTAAATGTAATTGGCCACAGGGGAAGCAGAGACAAATAAAGTTAAACAGCACAGCCTTCAGGATACAGTCTATCAGTGACCATGTGAGGTTCTGTCTGGAACAGGGGCGGACTGACAACTCATGGGGCCCCTGGGCAATAGGGGATCATGGGGCCCCTGTGTCCTTGCCCAAACTCAAAAAAAGCCTATGAAAAAGGTACCAGGGGCATCTCATGGGGCCCCCTACTGACCCCGGGCCCTCGGGCAGTGCCCGAGTTTCCAAATGGTCAGTCCGCCCTTGGTCTGTAATATGCTATGGTGAATTACACATTACTCAATAATTTGAAATTTTTTCAATTTCTGATTTTAGCCCACATACAGTGTATAGTGAATACCCTTGGTTGCTTACATATTTGCTGCCTGGAGTCAATTGAAGTCCAACATCAAGATTAAAAAATAATAACAAAATTAAACTGTTTAGCACTTCTGAAAAATTAAAAAAAAAAACAGCATCCTCTCTCCTGCCCTGCTTCCTGCAGACACTCCACTCAGCCCTCTTTCTGCCACTGCTTTTACAGGTAGAATAATGTCCAGCATCTTTCAACCAGCTTCCTGTGGGCAAATGCTGCAGAGAATAGAGCTTACACAGAGACATGATCACTCTTCTATACAGCATTTAAGACCAACCACATCTAAGGAAGAGAAGAAGAGCAACAGCATCCTACTCATCACCTAGATATCCAGATTACACTAATAATGTTTAAACATTTTGGAAGAAATACATGTTGGGTGTGGGGTTTGGAGGAACTGGAGCAGGGCTTTGCGTTTTTTGGAACCTTATATATAATAATACAGGATCCAGGGCCATTTTAACTATGTACATAAGAGCCTGAGGACACCAGATCCGAAAGGCCAGGAGAAGCTTTTATTTTATGTAATGATGGTCCAAGATCAAACAATGTGTAACAAATCCTCAAACACCAGAAGATTTTGGTGACATTGCTGCAATTACATACATGCATTCCAGTACCTCCTTTCACAGTAAGAAGTGACCTGACTTCCTTACACATAGAGGAGGTGCTGAAGGGCCTCTGGAGAATTGAAGAAAATGCAAAGAAGGGCAACCAAACAGTGAAGAAGCAAAGAGGAGCTCAGGTATGAGGAAACATTAGCTGAACTGAATGCATTCTCTCTTGAGAAGAGACAGTTAAGGGGGGGGGGCGGTATGATCACCATTTATAAATACATAGGTGGTCCATAGTGAACTTGGTGTTGAGCTAGTCACAGAGGGCAATGGAGAACTCCATTAACCTCCACATACAGAAAGGATTCTTTACAGTAAAAGCTATGAATATGTGGAGTAGACTTCCTGAATAACTAGTTCTGGCCAACTCAGTAGATTTAAAAAAGAGTTGGATGCATTCCTAAATACACAAAATATAAGTGGATACTAAGAGTTATAGATAATAACACCAGGGATAGTTGATTCAGGGGATATCTCATTACTTCTTTGGAAATCAGGGAGGATTTGTTTTTCCACATTGAAGCAAATTGAATCATGTTTTATTGTTTTTTTCCTGCCTTCCTCTGGATCAATTGTGGGTATGGTCTGTGTATTTATAGGTTTTCTATATTTTGGTATTTGTTTTTTTAGCTAACTATGTAAATATAAAGCTCTGGTTTGGAAGTGCAACAGGTGCTAAATTAAAGTCTGCATACTGGCCCACTGAAATCTGGGGTCTGCTGAAGTGAAGGATTGTTGCACATACACACATATGCAAAAAAAAATCACTGAGCAACCAATGTATGAAATAAATCAGTGCATTTTTTGACTTTCCACCCAGCATATGTAAAGAGAGAGATAAATCTATATGACACTATATGGCATGCATGCTGGGATTTGAAGCTCTGTAAAGCCACATAACCCAATCATTGTCATATACTCGCATGATGTTTCTTTTGGGAAGAATGAAAACATGGGATGCTTGCCCTGGACACGCCAGTTTCTTATAACAGCCCTGACTAGATCAACGAGAATCATGCCTAAAGATTTTTTCCCCTACCACATATACCCCCCATATGGGGAACACGATCCTTCACTTCCCATAGTAAAAGCACCACCTACTGTACACCAAGCACATAGTTCGTCACACACCTAACCCTTTGATCACTCTAGATGTTAACACCTTCCCAACCAGTGTCATTAGTACAGTAATTAGTCTATTTTTTAGCACTGATCACTGTATTAGTGTCACTGTTTCCCATAAAGTGTCAGTTAGTGTAAAAATGTCTGCAGTCCCACTATAAGTCGCTGATCACTGCCATTACTAGTATAAAAATAACAAAAAAAAATCCAGTATATGTAACATAGTTTGTAGACGCTATAACTTTTGCACAAACTAATCAATATACAATTATTGGGATTTTTTCCAAAAATATGCAGTAGAATACATGTTGGCCTAAATTTATGAAAATTTTGATTTTTAAAATGTTTTTATTGGATATATTTTATAGCAGAAAATAAAAAATATTTTTTTTCTAAATTTTAGTATTTTTTTTGTTTATAGCGCAAAAAGTAAAAACCAAAGAGGTGATCAAATACCACCAAAAGAAAGCTCTATTTGTGGGAAAAAAAAGGACATAATTTTCATTTTGGTACAGCATTGCAATTATCAGTTAAAGTAAAGCAGCATTGTATCGCAAAAAATGGCCTGGTCAGGCAGGGGGGTAAATCTTCTGGAGCTCAAGTGGCTAAGAACCAGTACTGTA